TGAACTTGAATGAATTAACTAGTTGGTGTTTATGGCAATAAATTTATCATTAAAAATAGTATAGCAGTGAGTTATAAGTAAAGGAGGAATCTCCGGGGCCAGCAAAGGATCAGTAGGAGGTATCTTCTTTGATTTGGAATCAAGTCAGTCTTTATTATTAAACAAGTAAAGAATAAATTGAAATAATTACAGTAAAGCAGTAAAATGGTATAACGGTGAGTAAAAATTAAACAGCATTATAAATTACCTTCAACAGCATGCAGCAAAATAAGAGTTCCAAAATTAAACTTTGTAAAATCTTTGCTAGTGCTTTGTCTTACAAACTTACCATCATTATCACTCTTGTGAAAAGCTGTAGCCTAGTCTTAAACTTGGGAGTCTTAAAACTTTAATCCTTCTAGAGTCTGTGTCTCTTCTTCTCTGTCCTCTCTCTTTCTGGTGTAGCATAGGCTGTGCAGGGTGAATTGAGGAATGTGCTCCACCCCCCGCACCTCCTTCCATCCCTCCCCTCCCTCTGTTTTCTCAATGAGCCGTGTTGTGTGTTTTAACTGTCATTAGCATCTTCAGGTAATCTTGTAGACCAGTTATTAACTATGGTTATCTATAACCCTAGACTCTGGTTGTTAAAAACGGTCTGGTTTTATCAGACAGAGTTCGTTTTCGAAACAGGAACCTATTTTTATCAGCCGGAGACAAGAGTTTGGAACTACAGACTATATAATAATCTGGTACCAGATCTGGTACCAGAAGTAACGGTCCCCAACCCCTCACCAGTTATCTCCCACATGCCGTCACATACAAAATAAGAGGATGGGCAGAGTTAGCCGTGAGCCAATGATAAGAGACTAGGAGGGGTTACCATAGGCCAATGATGGGAGTCTGTGAAAATAAAACAAGAACATTGTCTTCAACAAATTGCCAAGAGGGCACTTGGATCCTTGAACAGTATCTACCCACCAAAGAGGGGACCTCCATGCGGTGAATTTTTTTCAGCTAATGAGTGTTTGTATCTCTTAAAGACTTTTTGTTTCTTTCAAAACTAACATCATTATTAGTAATATTTAAACATTTCTCTGTGATACAAAAATATTCAGGGCCACTTTATTGAGAATTTACAGTTTTACCTGTTATTCAGAAATAACTTGGATGCATGCACAAATATCAAAGATTGCAGTATTAGCACCAAAAGGTACTTTATCCAGGGTTCAATTATATAAAATGTCTTATTACACTAGTCCAGTCATTTAAACTTTCTCTTAGAATTCAGGTTTGTCTGTGGTGCTTGGTCATTTGGTGAAGTAGGTCTTTTTAAAGGGCCTTCAACTTTATCTTATTTTGTATTTGCTCTTCATAATTATAAATTAGGACTAAAATGCTCAGCAGCAAGATCCTTTTTTTTATTTATTTTTTTGTAAGTAATCACTAAAACAGGTTTATCAACTTTTGCTAAACCTATGGAATAATTCTGTCCCCAAATATTGTGAAATGAAATTGACCAGTTATTGTGACCACAAGATTTCTATCAATTTTGCAATGTACTTGTTTCTTCAGTCTAAATTTTATAGGATTGTATTTTATTTTTTGACTGCATTACATTGTTTGCTGGCACGTAATGACACGGAGTTCCCTCTTAGTTCCTTCTTAGCTAGCATGGAGCGACACTCCAGCATGGATGAATAAAAGAATGGGATATTTCAATTAAGAAAATATTGTAATCTAAACTAAATATTTAATTTGTAGCTACACTTACAAAATAAGGACAATTCTTATGTAGCAAAATCCCCAAAACTACAAGTGTTAACAGCGTCCAAATAACTCAAAATTTAGTCTTTCAATAACATATAGACTATGTCCCTCATTCTAAACTAAAGCCATACTCATAACTAAGTGACTAGTCACACTAACAGGCCTCCTCTTTCCCTTTAGTAAAAAAAGATAGAATTATAAAAAATTATAGTTTACAACTTTATGAACTGGAAACTTCAAGAGCTAAAGTTTGATCCTTCTACTGAGAACCAGCTGCCTTTTGCTAATTAGGGTGCAACCCACATTATCCCTGTGAATAAGACTATTACAGAGGACATGAAATCCAGAACCCTTCCCTTGGGGATGAAGTATTCAAATGCTAGTTAGCTACTTTGTTGACATAACAGGACAGTAGTTTTCTGTTGATGACAATAAAACAGAAGGTTAAAATAAATCTCCTATAGGTAAAAGAATAAAAATCAGCTTGTTCCAAAGCTAAACAGGAACCAGCAGCTTCAACAACAAAAGTCTGTAACAATATCTATCATATGACTTTTTATTTTTTATGTTATGCCCCGATTTACCATGGGGTTCTTGACTAGCCAGAACAGGATGTTCAGCATTTATAATATTTCATATTTAGCCTATCTATTAACATGTTTAAGCTTAAATACAGATTTTTGCTGTTGAAAGTAAATAACAAAATTCATTGTATCAAGCAAATCTATACTAATAATCATTTAGATGCTTAATTTGGTTGTTTGTTTTGAAGCATGTGCAATTCATCGGTTGGGTTGATTTTTCACTTCACTTTAATTGAGGTCCAAATTGATGTTTTTTGTGTCTCTTTGTCATTTATCAAGAAAATTAGTATTAAAACTTTGCATAGAGGTACAAACATAAGATTCTAAAATGGGAGACTGTATAGTTTTTACATGGAAGCCAGTTTGACTTTTTATATGGATGTATGCGTTTAAAGTAATTCAGATTGTTTGTGAAGAAAATGGTGGCTGCAAACTTGTTGGATTGCAACCTGCAAGGCTTAAGATAGTTGAATAGACTGCTGAAAGTGTTAAATATTTGTCTAGATACTGTTTGGTCCACACTGTCTTTGGTGTGCATTTTGGTGCCATCCATGTTGAGTTCAGTGTTCATGTGCACTTGAGTAGCTCTAAGTTCTTCACCAAATTAGAAGTGTAATTTGTTAATGAAAATGTAATTTCATAATCAATATTGTTGTCAGCACAACGGCCAACTTGAGGAGGGCTCCTCAGCAGTACCAGCCTTGGAAAATGTGCCAGATGTAGTGAAGCCTTTTCCCCTCTTACGTGGCTTGGTGTGAGATGTAAAGGTGAGTATTTTAATAAATAAATGTTCATGAATGCTTAACTTTAAACATAATAAGTAATAGTCTTTTTTCTTCTGTAAGAATGCTATTTCAGTGAAGGTGGTAGTTAAGTGTTTTAATTTAACTTACCTAAATCTTTGGTTCACCAATATACAGTCTATTGGAACTTGATACGTGCAAAGCAGCAAATATTATATTTGCAGAGGGTAAAAATGTCCTTGTGGTGTTAAGTAATTGTGATTCTTCATATGCATCACTTTACAAATTTCTACAATAATCCTCAAGGGTGGGTTCACACCTAAAGGTCCGGTTCCTGAATCAAACTACTAAAAGGAAACTACCAATGAATATGTCATTTAAAATACTACTCATTTATTATTATTGTAAATGTATTATTGTTGTTATTTATAATATTTCATATTTATACATTTTATTACAAATAGGTTTTGATGAAAGGCCTAGCATCTTTGATATATTGAACTTTCAAGCATGTTGGGTCCAAAATTCATGAATTCAACCAAGGACATACATAAAAACATATGTATTATGTAAACATTGCTTGCTTTTATCCTTTTAGCCATTTGCAGGGGCTTACTCCATGATGTACGATATCCAGGTAGAAATATGAAGGGGTTTGTTTTTACCCAGTGACTGAATGACCAATAATCAGATGACATTTCCACAAAATGGTTTCTTCTAAGGCAAACTGACAAAAAGTGAAAATCTACTTGTAATAAAATGTATTATTTGTTGAAGACAATGTTCTTGTTTTATTTTCACAGACTCCCATCATTGGCCTATGGTAACCCCTCCTAGTCTCTTATCATTGGCTCACGGCTAACTCTGCCCATCCTCTTATTTTGTATGTGACGGCATGTGGGAGATAACTGGTGAGGGGTTGGGGACCGTTACTTCTGGTACCAGATCTGGTACCAGATTATTATATAGTCTGTAGTTCCAAACTCTTGTCTCCGGCTGATAAAAATAGGTTCCTGTTTCGAAAACGAACCATACCGTTTTTAACAACCGGAGTCTGGGGTTATAGATAACTCTATTCCATAACTGGTCTACAAGATTACCTGAAGATGCTAATGACAGTTAAAACACACAACACGGCTCATTGAGAAAACAGAGGGAGGGAGGGAGGGATGGAAGGAGGTGCGGGGGGTGGAGCACATTCCTCAATTCACCCTGCACAGCCTATGCTACACCAGAAAGAGAGAGGACAGAGAAGAAGAGACACAGACTCTACAAGGATTAAAGTTTTAAGACTCCCAAGTTTAAGACTAGGCTACAGCTTTTCACAAGAGTGATAATGATGGTAAGTTTGTCACACAAAGCTTTAGCAAAGATTTTACAAAGTTTAATTTTGGAACTCACTCTTATTTTGCTGCATGCTGTTGAAGGTAATTTATAATGCTGTTTAATTTTTACTCACCGTTATACCATTTTACTGCTTTACTGTAATTATTTCAATTTATTCTTTACTTGTTTAATAATAAAGACTGACTTGATTCCAAATCAAAGAAGAAACCTCCTACTGATCCTTTGCTGGCCCCGGAGATTCCTCCTTTACTTATAACTCACTGCTATACTATTTTTAATGATAAATTTATTGCCATAAACACCTACTAGTTAATTCATTCAAGTTCATGTTTTATTACTTAATAAAGTCTTTAAATCAATGAAAAACCTCCTCCAATTATCTGTCAAAAACACACAACGGAAGGATGTACGCACCCCTCTTATCAGTTACATACACATATTTACGGTTGGGGCAGGACCGGAAGTAGCTGTCAAAATTAGTTTGATGGAATGTCATCTATATTTCTCTCTCACGTGCTTAAAATATATACATGCACGCTTTAAATCTGCCCTCAAGTTTATCTGTAAAATTGTCTCTTACCCTGATGGTCAACATGACATGGGTGTGGCTCTTCAGGACCTCGACTGCATTGCTATGGGTGATGTCATCAAAGCTGACCCCGTTGGCTGCAAGGATTTGATCACCCATTTTGATGCCATGCTGTTCTGCAAGCCCACCTGGGTCCAACCTGAAGAGAAAGGTATATGTGTAAATATGAGCAATTCAAAAGAAGTCCATTTCCTGACTGAATAATGTAAACTGTGGGCACTTACTGTATAAGTTCATACCTGACTTCACTATCAAATGACACTTTTATTTCATTTTCTAGTCATTTATTTATCTTCAGTTACATTTATTAGAAGTATTTTAGTCTTGCTCAGTATTAGTTTTGTATGTTGTGTTAAATGTTGACCTGTTTGTCTTATTCACACTACTAGCTCATCAAAGTAGTTTCTTAACTACTTTTAGTTGTAATGGCAATTCGACACAAAAAAGTCAACACAATTCAACTGCCACAACCTCTAACTGAAGCCTGGTTGCTTTGGCCTAATGCAGAAACAGAGATTAATCATGTAATATTTAATTCCTGTGGGAAAATTATTTTCTTATTTGTCCTAGTTCCTCGTTCTTGCTCAGGGATAACTCAACAGGGTTGAACCTGGGTTCCACCGCATGCACACACTGCACAACCTTGAATAGTTGTTGTTTATCTGATGCTGATGGCCTCCTCAGGAGTAAAACAAGCAGTAGCTGAATGTGTTTCAAACAACACTTGGTTCATACTTAGAAACATAAATTCCCAGTCCGAACTCTTTGCCTCCTCTTATGTTAAAGCCCAGACAGTAGTCATCTGACGTGGTGAAGAGATGCACGATTCTGCGGAGAGCGCTGTCTGAGCTGGCCTCTGACGGTGTGCGACCGCTCTCCTCCACCACCATCCGCCGGTGAATCAGATCCACCCTACACACGTTGTGAAAAATATATACATGCTGTATATGCATACATGTAAACATTCACTGCTTTCTCTTTCTGCACTGAACCCAGGCCTGTCAGAATTGGTTAATCAAATACTAGCCATAAAGGTCACAGTGGTAATCCATCCACTGCTGCCACATGAAACCAAGATACAGTGTATCCCAAAAGACAGACAACCAGTGTGAGTGAGCTACAGTCAAGTGACAAGACTTCACAAAACAAGAGCCGTGCAAAGGTCAGTGGTGGTAATAACAAGGTTGTGGTCTGTATATAAAGTCATAATATACAGTTTGGTAAAGTTGCTAAATTAACTATGTTGTGTAAATATTTAATTGTAGATTAGATGTAGGATATGATTTTTGGCAGCCTTATTCACATTGACACAACCCGCACTTAGTTGCACCTGTGAGGTGTTAGGCCTCACCATGTGGTCTTCTCCTTGGAGTAACGGATGCCGGGAATCTTGCCCACCCGTCTCACCACCATCCTCAGCCTGTTGTTGCCCGTCAGGACCTTCACAGCGCTGCTCATGGTGATGCTCTCCAGGCTGACGCCATTCACCTCCACCAGCTTATCACCCACAGTCAGCCCAGCCTGCGCTGTAGACACAGGTGGAACTCAGCATGATGAACAAGAGTAAATGTCACACGGAAACAGAAGACCACATGCCCAGATGTAAGCACACAAGCTCAAGAGACACATTCACAGAGACACACACACACACACACTTCCTCCTAACCTGCAGAGCTGTCGTCCTCCACCTTGCTGACAAATATGCCGAGTCCATGTTCGGAGCCCCCGCGGACACTGAAACCCAGACGCCCATCTGGACTCTTATCTACTGTCACTGTGTGAATGTCTTCACTCTCATCTCCTCCTGCAAACACAAAAAGCACATTGAAAAGGTACACCACACACAAGGATTGTGGCAGTCAGGAGAAATAAGGTGTGAAAACCAAGTAATTTGCATAAATATTTTCTCCAAATCAATTTTCTTAATTACTGTCGGTAAATAATACTGAAACGTCAATACTGTTGCAGTATTTATCATCCATCGTCAACCGCTTATCCTGCGTACAGGGTCGCGGGGGGCTGGAGCCAATCCCAGCTGACAGGCGGGGTACACCCTGGACAGGTTGCCAATCCATCGCAGGGCCACACATAGACAGACAACCACTCACACCTAAGGACAATTTTGGAGACACCAATTAACCTAGCCTGCATGTCTTTGAACCCACGTGGACACGGGGAGAACCTTCTTGCTGTGAGGCGACAGTGCTAACCACTGCACCACCGCGCTGCCCTGCAGTATTTATGTATATTTAAATATTTAAATTTAAATTTATAAAAGTATAAATTCAACCAATTTTATTGCCACATCCTCAAACCTAGAAATATTAATTAATTGTCCCTTCAAGTATTATGTTCCAGCTTTTGAAAGGTTTCTTGACCATGAGTCACTGAGATATTCATGTATACTTGTGGGGTTTCTACTAGGGCTGCAACTAACGATCATTTTCATTATCGATTAATCTGCAAGTTATTTTCTCAAATAATTAATGAATTGTTTGGTCTACAAAAGTTCCCAGAGCCAAAAGTGGCGTCCTTGAATTGCTTGTTTGGTCTGATCAACAGTACAAAACCCAAAGACATGCAGTTTGCTATCATAGGAGAATAAGAAAACCTGAAATATTTACATTTCAGGAACTAGAACCACTGTATATTATATATGTCCCAAACTCACCATCAACAGGTGCATTGATGAGAATGACCCTTCCCATTGGTGAGCAGGACCTGTGTCTGTGGCGGTGCTGTTTCTTCAGCATGTAGCGTGTGGTGCTGTGGGGACCCCCGCTCTGGCCTCCATTGTTGAAGTGGGGGTGCCCTCCTCCATTTGTCATCTCCCTCCAGCCAGAGGGGTGTAAGGAGTGAGCCATGCTATGTATCTGGCACTTCTTCCCTTAGTCATCCAGACAGGAGGATTTCTGGACTGTGCTATCAGGATGGAAGAGGTGCAGCCTGGGATTTGGAGAAAGGAGGTGGGAGACAAGTGTGGTGGGGAACTGGATTTTTTGCTGCTCCAAAGTGGATGCTAAAATGCTGGAGTTGGTCCCCACTGGGGCAAGCCACTTACAAAGCTGTAGGTAACAACCCTGATCTTCACTAAAACCAGTTTAAGACCATAAATACAGCTTAATAAAAGAATCCAGGATCCAAAAGAGAAAATGTGACATAGAAAAACTCCAAGATAACACAGCTGAATGAACAAACTATATACTCATTTAAAAAGGATGGCAAAAAGTAGTCCATGATTGAACTGTGGAATCCTAATGTTCTTTGTAGGTGAAAGAAGTTGGTATAATCCAGAATCCATCCTTGGCAGCCTCTGACTCCATCTCCATAGAGCCCATGGTGCCTGTTTCCCCCTGCTTCAGCTGAGAGGCTGCTGGCCTGTCTGCAGAGAAGTCAGCGGTGCATGGAGATTCCCTTCGGGTCATGTTTAATTAAATGGATATCTGTTGTGAGAAGAATATGCTGCAATGAATAAAACGGGCTCAGAAGTTCCAGATGAAATACTAAAACTCCCTCAGTTTGAAACAGTTAAGACATATAACCTGGGATCTTGAAGTAGAAGAGTAAAATAAAATAAATTATAAGTAACTCTCATTGAACTTCACCAGTCAGCACCATGGACAGCGACTAAGAGATAGAATACATAAACAAGAGGCTCAGTTTTGACAGTTAATTATTATCTATTCATTCACGTTATAACTAAACTTCTGGACTACTTGTTGACATTGTACCGAGCGGTGGGGGCAAACTTTAACGCGTCTCGTTTCCGTCTAAACTTGTCCCCGTTGATACCTTGAAACATGAAACATTACAAAACGCCTGTGAAACAATTTTAACACCAAGGCAGTGAACAAAGTTTGACAGCGTTACCTGCTGCATCCATGTTGTGCCGGATGAGTTCGGACAGACGCTCACTGGTCCGACTCGCTGACGCATTATTGGACATCCGGAGTATTAGTGCGACCTCAGTTCTTCTCAGGTGACCATTATTGTCTTAGGAGGTGTAAGCCTTTTACATAAGCCCCCTGCAGCTGTACAGCCATTAACGCTGATGATTAAGTGCACTAACATCACGCTGACTTAAGTCTTCTCTCAAGTCAATTTCAGTTTGTCCTCAGGTAAAACTTGTAACTAATATTTTTTTTAATTAAGCCCATACTTTTCAGTAAAACTGAAAGAAGAAGAGAGGCGCATGTTGAAAAACTGAGCTGTGGAACTTTCTGGCTTCCTTCACCGTGTCTGTGAGATGGATGAACAACCCCACCCGGTGGTCAGCGGTGACATATCACAACATCTATGCAGATCTGACTGAATCTCCAGGGAATTGATCGGTCATGTTAATAACAGTGAATATTCTGTACAGAAGGTAAAACTAAATCATAAGTGTTGTTTTAGTTTAACATAATTATTGTTATTTTTGACAACTTTATTAAGCCTATCAAACAATGTCACTACATCAATAAGACATCCCTGGTTGAATAACTGGAGAGAGGATTTGCATACCACAATCATTTTCAAAAAAAAAAAAAAAAAAAAACTACAATAAATACGACCCCAGAAAACGTGACAAAAAATTATTAAATAATAGGCTAAATGATACAGATACTTCATATGATGATTGGGAGCTTAATTTCCATACTTGCACTCTTGACCTTATTTTTTTCTAAGATTCCTTATCATAAAAAAAAACCAAACACACTTATTTCGTTGCATATTTCTACTGCATATTACAGTGGCTATATACAATGTAATTAAATGAAAAATGTCTGTTGGAATGAGTGGATTACCATAAAAGTAAGCAATGTCTTACTTAGCTGCATGATGTGACCCAAATAGCAAAAATTCTTTACTAAACCTAAGGTTTTTTCATATTTAAGACATTTAAATTAGCCTAATTTCTCTGACAACTTTCAGAGATTCTTTTAAGTATGAAATATCTTGGAACTACTGGGCTGCTGTTTAACAGAGACGTTTTATGCAGCCTATAAGGACTTTGTTTTTAACCAATCATGTGCTGTCCCCCCTCCCACGCCCAGCGCTTCCAGCAACTCAACATACCCTCCACGAGAAACTCCGCCTCCGCATGGTGTTGCTTTCAATTACCTCTACAAAGCGTTGATTTCCAGAGTCCAACTTCAATGCGACGTCTATTGAAGATTTTTGAGAAAATTACAACAAAGATAATCAACATTATTAGAACAATTATTTTATAATTATAGCTTTTGTGGTCAAGTTGAAAAAGGGTGTAACAGACAATAATATATACGTTTCCTATTTACCTTCGCGTCCTTTGCCGCGAAGCGCTGTTCTACAATACTTGGTAGGGCACATGAAGGCATCACATTTTCGCCGTTAGTGCTGTGATATTGAGAGGTCATACATTTTCGAAAATCGAAGAAAGAAAACCAGGTACGTTTCAGTGCTGATTGAATTCATATATTTAATTAATCTGAATCGCAATTACCTCGATGCGTGCCTTTCTAACGCTAACTAAACTAACTTACCTGTCTAATGAGCGGGTTGACGATAGTTTACCAAGAGAACACTAAACCGAAAGTGGTTTGTTTTGATGGCGCAAAAAATGTTTATTGTCCTGTCTGTTTTAACATTTGATGTTTTGGGAATTTAATTCGCGTTTAACGTCCATCTTGAGTATTTATGTTACTCCAGTGTGTGAGTTTCAATGGTATTTTCAGCTTACTCGCTAGCTTGTTAGCTGCATTTGTTAGCCGGCTTGCTGACAGAAACCGAGACAACGTGTCGTGACTCCCCCCGATCCCATCTGTCACTGTGTGCCTGTCACGCACTTCCATTGATCAGCTAACGTTACTTACAATGTCACACACACTGAATCGGTTTGGCTGTCTCAGCAGTCAAACGTTTTGACTTCCAGGTGTCAAGTGCATTTGAAAATAACCAAACAACGGATTCAGGAAATTGTAATGGGCATTTTCTGACATTTTATTGGCAAATCCATAAATGAGCAGAACAGTAGATAATGGAAGTATTCGTCAGTTGTTGCCCTGTTTGGTGATATATTCAATTCAACATATAGTGGGACCTAGCAGAGCTGTTTTTTCACTAGCCTTTTATCGTACTCACATCAACACTTGATACACAGATGTTTGATAGCTTTGCACTGGAATGTAAACATGGCTGACAAACTTGTTCAGGGTTGTTTTCTCAGAGATACCGTTACTATTACTGAGGTATGCTGTTCAGTGATGGAGCACCTCAGTTCAGAAGTTCAGAGTTGTGAGGTGGAGGCCTACTTGTGAAGCTGCCAAAGTCTTTTACAATTTAAAATAATTTCACCTGTACAGATGGGTATAAGTAATACGTATTCGATATACTGTGTAAATAGCATAGAGTATATAAAACATTTACAGCAATTGTCTGGTTAAATATGTAGTGTTACTTCTCTGTTCTTTGATCAAACAATTTCCATTTGAAGTAATGACTTTGTAATTTTTAGACATAGTTCTAGTTCATAGTTCTTCATAGTTAGACAACATTCAACATTTGAGAACCCTTTGAAACAAAAAGATTTGTTGAAAACCACTTACAGTAAATGTTTCTCTAAATAAAGTAGCGTAACACTATGGTTTTGGAATCTGTAACGAAATGCTGTTATTGTTAAAGGTTCAGTGTGTAAGACTTAGAGGCATCTAGTGGTGAGGGTTGTGAATTGCAACCATCTTTCCAGTCTACCATTGCCCCCTAAGCTGTCAAAGAGCGTAGGACAGCTAGGGTGTCTGACACAGCACAAAAGATGTCTCTTCTGAGACAGCAGAGAGTGGCCAGTCAAGAAATGAGGGTTCTTTAGGTGTATTTATTAAGAATTTATATTTACTTAATTATTCAGAAAAAACATATGTTATTGTTGCTTGGCAACTGACAGACAACATGGAAAATGTGAGCCAAGAGAGTGAAACACTGTCACTGTTTCTGCACTACAGTCCATTATAAACCACACATTAATTAAAGTTTATACAAACATTGACAAGGGAAACACATTAATTCTCTCTGTGATTATGGACCATCGACAAAACTGCCCGCCATCAATAATACCTGGGCCGATGCCAGATTAGGGTGTTTTGATAGCGGCAAAAAATATAAATAAATAAATGCTTTGGTAGCAGTGCTGAAATAGATCTCAGTCATGACAGCAACATAATCACTTCGTCTTTGGTGGTTTTGCCTACAAAATAAAAGTGCGAGAAGCTTTGTTTACTGCAATGCAGAATTGGAGCTTTTACTATGAAAAATTCTGAACGAAATTACATGAGTCTGTAACCTGCTTGACCCACCTCTGAAAGAGCCGTCAGAAAACGTGATTCCCCTAAATGGCCTCTGCCTGGAGATACTGTGGAATTGCAATAGCATCTGTAGGTTGATGGATGCGGATCAGTCACTGAAACAAAAACAGTGCAGAACATGGTGTAATGCTGCAGTATCCATTTGTTGAAGAGGGAAAAAAAACACTCCCAAGGTGGTATCGAACACTCAATCCTTGGGTTGTGAGTCCTGTGTCTTACTGAGCTAACTGAACAGCATGTTAATACAACTTGATATTATGGCTTAACTTGTCATCCACAAGTAATGGTTGAAAATATTGCTCTGATGCAAAACTTATTGGCCGACCCCTGCAGTATATTATTACTAATTCTTCTTTTTCTAACGTACTGTACGTATTCAACATAGTGATGAGTGTCTGCACTGCCTGAATTCTACCAGAAGTAGAACAAGAAGAACTTAGAGACAAAACGTGCTCTGTAGCGCTGTTTGTCCGTTTTCAGCTACTGTAGAAACATGACATTGCAATGTGGCGATGTCCATGGAAGGGGGTGACTGCGGTTATGTAGATATAAATGGCTCATTTTAAGGTAATAAAAACATAATGCTTTATTATGTAAGGTCTTTACACACCACTGAAAACATAGTTATTGATCTTATATTGCATTTCTGTCGATGGATCCTCAGAAATATTACATACTGAACCTTTAAGCGTTAGCACTGAAACATACAGCCGAGTATTAGGGCCACATTATGGAAAAAGATTTATTATTTATTTTGCATTTCGAGAGTAAAGGTGAAATGTCCAGAATAAAACTGAAGTACCATAGCGAGAATAAAGTCTAGATTAAAGTTGAAATCACGAAAACAAAGTCAACTCCTTTAGTCCTTTACATCACGTTAGAGCCATTGTCCGCCTTGCCCGCTACCATGTAGGTTACATCATAGACACAGCTTTTACTTTCAGTTAAGAAAACAGTTGCACCTCTTCAGAAACCTTTACACTCCAAGAATGTAGCCAATATGTTTATAATGTAGCGTATATAGCAGCTGGCAAGGCGGACAGTCGATCTAACGTCATTTCATTTCCACTTTATTCTTGAAACACAAAATAAATTAATAAATTTCATCCTCAATTTTCTTTACTTAATGTGGCCCTAATACAAGACCCAGTCTGTCTTGTTTGTTCATACATCTGTTTAACCTTTATTCGAAAATGTATCTCTGCGTTAGATCAATTGTTCTTCTGAAATACAAAATGACACACTTGTGTTTAAATGTGAATCCAGTACAGCCAGGATGTCTGGAGAGCTGTCCCTCAACATAAACATCAAGGAGGCAAGATGGGATCAAGGCACTTTTATGGGGCGCGCCAAGCACTTTTTCATGATCACAGATCCCCGAAACGTCCTGCTGTCCTCTGAGACTCTGGAGGAGGCCCGAGTGATCGTGGAGAACTACAGGTAGGAGATAGAGGAGGAGTAAAAATGAGAATATTATAGAGAGGTTGAGGTGGTGTGTATCCCTTTACACTAAAATGCAGATGATAGATAGAGGTAGAGATAGATAGAAGTTTCATACCGTATAAGTAAGAAGGCAAATCTGGGATGAGACTAATGCATTTTTTGTTAATTTTATGTCACAAACTTACGTACAGTTCCATTGCAAAACCAAAAAATGCTGTGTTTGTGTGACTGCTGTGTCTCTACACGATGTGGAAACCACTACATCACTCCTTTGTATTGACTTCTTCAGAGCCGGGAGCGTGAAGCCTGGCCTGACGGAGGATGAGCTCTGGAGGGCCAAGTACATCTACGACTCTGCCTTCCATCCTGACACAGGGGAGAAGATGTTTGTGATTGGCCGGATGTCTGCTCAGGTGCCAATGAACATGTCCATCACAGGCTGCATGCTCACCTTCTACAGGTACAGCAGAGTTGTTTCTGTACACAATTAATTATATTGTTAACACCAAACTGAAAATGGCTTCATCAAAATATGTAAAAAAAAAAAAATATGTATGCCAATATTCTGAATGAATATGATACAGTTTCCATGTGATTCAAATGTAACCGTAATGCATCATACAGGACGGGTAAAAAATAGAGATTTTAATCCCTGCACTGACGGAAAATCCTCTTAAAGAATAAAAACTATCCCTCCCTACTACTGAAAAATCATTGGGCAGCTGAGAGGACAGTGAAGTCATGTGATGCTGATCCAACAAATTGATAATACTGTCAGAAAGTAACTTAATTCTAATTTATAATTTTGATAACCAATGTAATAGTTTGAGATATTTATCAAGTGAAACCTAGCTGGTCACATATTTTATAAATTGTTTGATATCAAATAAATAAATTAGAAATGATTCAGTCATGAGTGAGCAACATCACATAACTGCTTTACCCTTATTGTGGAATAAAAGCTTCGCCCTGGAAAAGGGACCTTTTCAAATAAAAGTAAATAAATAAAATGCAATAAACCTGGTTATTACAAAAATAATCAGGATGAATTAACATATTGAGATGAGTTTTAAATTATTTCATGGTAATTATATATGTTGTCTGTATGTATTTATTATTTCATAATGCCTACTTAATTTATTTAATAATGAACTCTTTGGATCTCCATATTTTACATCATTAAAATTAAATTACTTTGGGAGTTTTGTGTGCTGATCAAACTCGACTGATCAGTGGTCTACCACAGTGTCAAGTTAGTACACTACCACTGGAGGGCGCCAATGTTTGTAAATTCATATTCTGCACATAGTGGCTTTAAATAATAAAAAAAGGCACAACAAATAAACAAATACAGAGAAGGTATGACTTCAGATTATTTATCAAGGGAAGGGATACAAAAAAATACTTGTAGGTTTATCAGTGATTAAAAAGACCAAATCAGAGAGACGTTTCTTCTTCAAAACACTATTTACATTACATTTAGCTGATGCTTTTATCCAAAGCGACTTACAATTTAGGTCAGAGGTCGCATGCCTCTAGAGCAAGTAGGGGTTAAGTGTCTTACTCAAGGACATGTTGGTGGGCACAGTGTCACAAAGGGGAATTGAACCCGGGTCTCTCACACCTAAGACGTGTGTCTTACCCACTGTTCCATCACCACCCCGTATAGTTCATAAGGGACAAAGGTATAAAGCAGTGGTTGGCAACAAATGGCCTGTGGGCAAAAATTGGCCCGCCTGCAATAATATCTGGCCTGTGGCCAGATTACTTTGATAGCGGCTGGTGCTGAAATAGATTTGCCAGCAACAGAAACTCACATAATCACTTTCTCTTTAGTGATTTTGCCTTCAAAATAAAAGAGCAAGAAAGTCTTTTGCATTAATGTTTTATTTTGAGTTGAATTGCAAGCTTTTACTCTGAAAAGTTCTGAAGCGCATGCTTGATGCACTTCTGAAATAGCCATCAGGAAATGTGAGATTGGATTCTTCTGAACTAGCAGGAATTTCATCTGCCTGGAGATGCTGGGGAAATGAAAATAAGTGTCCATAGGTTGATGGATCAATCGCTGGGACATACACACTCCACCACATGCTTTGTTGTGTGTCATAATTAATTTGTTGAAGAGGGAGAGAAAAGATGTTAGCCCAATGTGGAGATCAAACACACAGTGAGCTAACTGGACAAGCTAACTTGTAGCCTTAAATTATCCTATGACTCTGTTCAGGCCATCATCTAATGACTTAAAAAAATGGACTGATGCCACATTTACTTGCTGACCCCTGGTGTAAAGGGGCAAAGTATACATCCAGTATGTTTCACTGGGTAACAGACACATGATTTGGGTGTGTAAGGTTAAAGCACTGGTGTGAGTGGAACTAAGTTGTATGAATATGATTTTATGTAGGGAAATTAAAAAACAAGAGTTTGCAAAGCTATAATACTGACCTGAATCTTTTTTCCAGTCAAATTCAACTTGGTTATTATTTGTTGCCCCCTCAATATTGTTAATCATTGACAAGAATTCAATCTGTTTGCGTGTGACGGGGTGGCATGAACTGTTTTCAGTTTCTGAAGGGGGGCATGGCATAAAATGTTTCAGAGCCACTAGGCTAAGGGCTGTTATGTTGCACAGAGTGCAAAGCCTTCTGAGACCGACCTGTGATTTCTGGCTAAATAAATAAAATTGTGACTTGACTTATCACACATAACCCAACAAGACGGATCGACATTTCACAGTAGCAGAAAACAGAGACCATTTATAGCCACGTGTTTTTGTGGTTTATATTACTCCACTACACAAACGGTATCTTGATCTTTCACTTATGTATAGCAGCTTTATTCCAAACTAAACTGCTGGGTTGACTGATAATGTAAATAAGTGGTAGTTGCAGTGTGAAATAAGTAATGATTAAGTGTGTTTAATATAATGATTATCCCATGCTCTTTCTACTGTGGAGACTGGAAAACAGCACATATAAAAGTCATATAAAAGTACTGCTTGCATGCTCTACTCTGACAGTTTTTAAACGCACCGTTGCTGTTCCCTCGTGTTTACAGGACTACTCCGGCAGTGGTGTTCTGGCAGTGGGTTAACCAATCCTTCAACGCCGTCGTCAACTACACCAACCGCAGTGGAGATGCCCCCATGACCGTGAAGTAGGGAGGACTTCTCACTTCACTTCCACTGTAGATCATTCCTGTCCTCCTTCTAAACTAGTATCTGTAAGGAGGCTGTGGGAGCTGCTGTCCTCTACCTTTCCCTCACAGCGGTATTACGTTCCACTGTTAAGCATGTTCAGCCCCATGTCACCATGCACTCATGCTGACATGGGTTAAATGCTCCCTGTTGATGTCAGGTCAACGTGCGTTTGCATACTCTTTTCACTGTGCCACAAAATGCATCCTTCACATGCTGCAGAACAGCATCAAATGCATGCATTTATGAAGAATGGGAGGATTGCCAGAACATGCAAATGCATATTCGTGGATTAAGCATGTCATTGAGTCTGCTTTTGAATATTACAATGCCTACCTCTGCCTTATCATTTGTGAGGATGTTCTTGTTTTTTATCTTTGCGTATTCATATTCATGCATAATGTGGATTTGTAATCTTACCGTGGCAACTACACTTTGAAATGTATCACTTCAATGTACCAGTGACACATTTTCAGTGGCAGACTTCATGTAGCACAAGTCAGTGTGAAAATGTAAAGACAAAAAAAAGGAAGTGGGTGATTAAATTGTGAAATGTGCATCTGTCTCTTTGCAGTCAGCTTGGTGCAGCCTACATCAGTGCTACTACTGGAGCTGTAGTCACTGCCCTGGGACTCAAGTCTTTAGCTACGGTAATCCCTGTGGTTCCTGATATTCCAGATACAGACGTGATGACCTGCATATGGATCTGAATATATGTGCAGAGATCTGAATGTGTCTCTTTGCCCCATCTTTGCAGCGTCTCCCTCCCATCGTCAGTCGTTTTGTCCCCTTTGCTGCTGTTGCTGCTGCTAACTGTATCAACATTCCCTTTATGAGACAGAGGTGAGGTCTCAGAAGGAAAAGCAATTTACCTCTATTTTACCTAATTTACTTAGGAGCTTTTAGGAACTGTGACAACTGCTCTACATTACTTTTCTGTCCCCTTCTTCCAGGGAGTTGAAGTACGGTATCCCTGTGACAGATGAGAACGGGAACAGGTTAGGAGAGTCCCCCAATGCTGCTAAGCAGGCCATCGTGCAGGTGGTGGTGTCAAGGATCGGCATGGCAGTGCCAGCAATGGGTAATGTCAACATTTTATTTGCTGGCTTCTTAAAGCGGCTATAATGTATATTTCTATTATAAAAGCAGTTGCTGGTATTGATGAACCTACAAAGAATTATCACGTGAGTCTGCAGCTCTGCCCGTCTTTACAGAGCTTTGTAGTGAGTTTCAGCTCATTGTTTAGCTGTCTGACACGCAACTTTACTGTTTTATTTCACCCCTCACCACCATGCTGTTTCATTTAGCATTTAGCAGCTAAATAGCCACTGAAAAATAGTGAATGTGTTGCATGGCGGATTAACAGCCACGTATTTCCCTCAGAAGACCAAAAACAGAGCTAAAAGAGAGTTAATATTGGACTTCTATTTATCAGGTGGCCAGAAACAAGACTCTAATGAATCCTGAAAACACAGAACACAGACTTAAACGTAAATACCCCAAAAGCTCAAATAAACTGATCACATGGAAAACTGATCATCAGCTGACTCATCCTGAACTTTTGATGGCATGAGAGGGAAAATCATTCCTCACCCTATTTGATGCAAACTAACTTTTTTCTTTTTCATGAAGCAGAACACGTCAACAGACTTCTTTTTATTTTTTTACAGCTATTCCTCCTGTCATAATGAACGCTCTGGAGAAGAAAGCTTTCATGAAGGTAAGTGTGCTTGACTGTCATACTGTTTTTCAGTCAGTGGATTAACTGGGTGTGCTGGTGTTTTGTGGGTCCTGTCAATGTCACATTCCACATGTTACACATACATTGAATTCTTATGTCTGAGGATGGACAAACTTGGTGATATGTCTGCCTGATACCCTGCACTTCTGCCTTCTCTGATCCCCCCCCACTCCACTGTAGCGGTTCCCAATTCTAAATGCTCCAGTCCAGGTGGGGCTCGTCGGTCTGTGGTAAGTAAATTACATATAATAGTAGCTATGGTGTTTATTTTATTTTTTAATGAACATGCAAGCATTTGTACTTAAAAAGGAGCGAATGACACGATCTGTAACATCCCTCTCTGTGTCTTGTTCTCAGCCTGGTGTTTGCAACTCCTCTGTGCTGCGCCCTCTTCCCACAGAAAAGGTACCCACAGCCACACCACTCTCTTTGCTCAAGAAGTGTTCTCTAACGTGAAGCAGCAATTTTGATGACGTTCAACTCTCTCTTTGTAGCTCTATGAGTGTGAGCGGGCTGGAAGCAGATCTGCAGGAGAGGATACGACAGACCAGTCCCCACACCACCACCGTCTACTTCAACAAGGGCCTGTAGGACCAGCCAACACATCTCCATGCACACAGACACACATATACATTGGTTTTCCATTGAGCACAAGTGGGAGGGTATAACAACATTTATGCATTTTTGTCATGTGTACTGCAGCATTTTTATTTTGACTGCATGGAGCTGCTCCAAGTGTAACAGTGAAGGCCGCTGATTGTTTGATCATTTGAAAAAGAGGATTCAAGTAAGTGAAAGCAGAACCCTTTAAGAAGGAAGATCACATTTCGCTCAGCACATATATGGCACTCCTAAGAAAGAAAAACTGACTGAATTTTTTTTTAAAATTATTATTGTGGTGTGTTTCTTCTGTCTTCCTTTGGCCAAAACTGCCTATTTGGTGGCAGGTCATGAAGTAACTGATTTGTGTATCACTCACCGGTATTTCATGTTGCATTCAGGTTCATGCAAAGTTGAAGCCCTTAATTGTAACTCCGGTTTAAAATGAAGGCTTGTGCTTTGTCGTGTTTGTACTTGCTTCTGAATGTAACATTTATTGCCTTACATCCCCCACTCACTTAGATTTCCTAGTATGATTTTCATTATTTTGTTTAAGAAGTACATATTATTTTAAGCTACACTGACTATAGCATGTTAGGATTCCTGCAAGTATTTAATCTCCATCTTGTAGTTAGACTGGAAAATCCAGTCCGTTGATTAGCTCTAAATAGTCCAACCCTTGATGAATAACGTCCTCCTATGTTGTTCTCCTTGTTAACTGTTGCAGCTTCTTACCCTCTTCAGCTCTCCTTTAAGTGTACTTATATTCAATTATATTCCCCTTCATATTAAAAATAGGTGCTAAATACACATGGTTAAGAAAATATGTAGAAATTATACTGCAAAAGCTCACAAAGCACATCCATAGAGTATTTCGGTGAACACTAACGAGTGTGGTTTCTGTCAACATAAATATGTACTGTTGCCATGGCAGCGGCAGCCTGTTTTTCACAGTCTTTTTATTCACGTGAGATCACTTTATGAAGTAGCGCAGTCGCTTTATTTAGTGGCGAGTTATTTGCTTGTTGTAGGTGGTGGTGCTTGTTTGGTGGTTGTGTCAGGCGGAGGAATATATTGTGTTGTCTCTACATGTTGTTGTTAAGGGGAAATGCTGTGACCTGAGATTCCTTTTGAGTTTGGCCATTTGTGTGTGTAAATGCACCGAAGTGCAGAAGAAGGACGACAATTTATTGCTGTTGTCATGTGAAAGCTTTGTAACTCAGATTTAGTTGGTTTTAATGTCCATGCTTGAACTGGAGGACTGCATGAGCAGGTTATAAGAGGTCAAAGCTGTCTAATTTCAGTTCCTTAAAATTAGAGATTAAGGGGTTTGCGTGCAACAGCTAGCTAGTCTTCTGGAAAACTGTAGCTTGCACTTGAGTCATTATCCCATTGTACCAAATGAACGTAGCTAATGTTGCGTGACAAAATACTAAATGCTTATTTGCAGGTCAGGGTAGTGGGTAACAGTGTGCGCTCTTTGTTGTTGCTTCGTTTAAGTGGACAGCTTGGCTCAGTTTGAGCTTCTCTGATCAAATTCATTGACTTTGTTGACCAAACGCTCCAAACATATGACTGTCCAGTGTGGTTAGTTAGTGATGATAGTGTACGTGAGAAAACAGAAGTTGTATCCCAGTGTCGTCTGTCTGGATTATGCAAGAATAAGTGTATATATATATATATATATCAACAATTGTGTGTGTGTGTGTGTGTGTGTGTGTGTGTGTGTATGTATGTATGTATGTATGTATGTATATAATATATATATATATATGTATATGTATATATATATATATATATGTATATGTATATGTTGAGCGGACCTAAAGATGCATGAATGTCTTTCATCTGGTGACATAAACAACAAGGCTATTTTGCTAATCTAAATCTTGTTTATTTGAATCGTCTGTAGTGTTAATGATTGATTAAAATGAAATCCACCGTTGCTGGTGTGGGGGTTGAACTTTTTTTGGCTGCATCTATAGTTTGCTTTTCTGAAATTTGAAATTCAATCATTAATTTAAAATTGTGGGTGTAAAGCGACTGTAGCAACTGCACACCTATTGCATTTTACAACAATTGTATTTTTATGAATCAACTTGAGTGCAGACAGAAATACACAATGGTTGTGTTTATATGTGATCCTAAAATTGAAGGGTTTCATTGCAAAGTGCAAAGTCCAAAAGTTGCCACCTGAAATTCACCACATTTTACATCTACAACCCTATCCTGAAAGAAAACTTCTTGATACGACAACTCTTGTTTTGCATGACTGTGGATTATAGGGTGACATCGGCCTTTAACGTGGATGTCGTCTTATTCTTTTTAAATGACAGATATCTCATTTTGGAATGAAACTCTTTATTTCTCATTTAACACCCTGAATAACAATCAAACTATTTCTTAATCGAGGCATTGTTTTCTGTCATCACTGCTGGTAGTTATTGTGTGTTGTGTTTGGGGTGTTTTCCTGCTGAAGGTGAAACTGCATTATATAACCTTTGCTGTGCTGCTGTAGGAGCTAGTGTATGCTGTTTAAAAGGAGCTATTTGAAATGTATAATAAAGATTGTATTTGTTTATAGTACTGGATAATGCTGAATTATCTATGGTCATGTTATTGCATATTCATAATTAATTCATTATCTGGCAGTTTTCATTGCTGCACCAAGCAGATTAGTTTCTGCTGCTTTCCTTTAGTCTTCTTCTGCTCTTTGAATTACGGCGCAAAAGTGTCAAGAACAAAACTGGAGGGTTTTAGTCGACATTTAAACCCATTTGTAAACATGTATCTCAGCTTGTGACTGATGTACCACCATAACATTTTGCACCTATAGATCTAGCCAAAGATGAGACGGGTTTGAAATGTACAGTATAGAGGAGAGGGAATGTTTAGCTTTTAAAGTTTTCATTTCAGCTTTATCATATGGACCTTTTGCCAGGCATTTCTACAAAAAAGAACATGTTTTTGTGGTCCTCAACCTTGTCAGTGCAAAACTCAACAGCACCAAAATATTCAAGAAAGTCATTATGTTATTAACACAAAAGGTCATATTTTGTTATCCATTTTATTGACATATTTATAATAAACTTGTCTTTTCACCACATAACACTGGTGAATTCTGCCGCACTGGTTGAGAATCCACTCATTTCAAACTGGATGTGCATGCCATTAAAAAAGGTCAAATCTTTGCATACTGAAGGCACAAATGTAAAGACAATCTGTTATTGTTACACTCCCAAGAATGTTTTGGTCATATACATATGTACAACTTAAATACATGCAGTCCTGTCAGTATTGGTGCACAGTGTTTTCTCCCTCTATTTTGTATTGTGTTGAAATATATTTCCTTGATGTGAAATGTATTTTACTCAAGAGCAATAGAATAAAATGTGTAACATGAAAGTCCAGAGCTGTCTGTTTAATTTAATATTAAAAAGTGTGATTTATAAATATTTTTGAAAGGTGTCAAACTACACTAATTTCCAGGTTCATACTTCAATTTTGGGGCCTATGACAATAGGTTTACATCATTCGAAGTTCAAAAAACAATTTCTCATTGTCCATTGCTGCAGCACCTCTGTTCACCCACTGAGTTTCAGCTCCTGTCTCTTTAAGGTTCCCCTCCCAAATTTTTACCATCTGGTATAAATTAATGAAATATCTGCATCTGGTTATACAGTCCAGCTACAAATAAATAAATCTTCACCTGCCAGCCAATCAGAATCAATAATCTGTCTAATCCTCTGTGGTATAAAGAATCATTTAGTACTGCAGTTATGTGTGTCAGGTTTGTTTGTGCTACAAATAAAAAGACATCACAAGAGTTAGTTATAGTTTGCTGTTCTTCCTGAGAATCTACCGCCAACACATGTAACTTGTGGTCAAGTGCTGCCCCAACATACCAATGAAATCTTACAAAAAATTAAACACATAGGAGCACAGAGAAGATGTGGTGATGAGGTCTTTATTTATCACTTTTCCCCTGCAGCTATTATTCACATGCACACACAATCTCTCACACACACGTTTGCAAGCAACACCTGCTTCAGGCACCACAAATACTCCTCAACACACGAGCATGTCTGTGTTTAAGCATCAAACCTGCTCCTCTCAGTGTTGAGTTTAGAGTCAAGTTGTCATTGTAACACACGCACATTCTCGTCTGCCATGTTGGAGGCCCATTTAGGTGCCAGACCACGAGAAGCAAAACAGAGATGATAAAACAAAAAAATAAAATAAATGTACCACTAACAGAAAGAGTTGATAGAATAATTAATCACATATGTAATCCAGCCTTTAGATTGACTTGTGTGGTTCTCTGAAGGGAAGATTTCAAGTTAACTTATCGGTTGATGTACCTGAATGAAAATGCTCCCTTTAAGTGGCGCAATACCTGTTTTTAATACCCGTCTCAAAATAAATTTAGCTTTTAGGTGTCTGACAAACAAGATGACAAATCCTGAAGGAATATCAGCTCAGTCCTACATTTCACAGTTCTACCTATGTAAACTAACAGTAAATTAATGTGCAAAAGACAATATTGTGATATTAAACAACACAACCAGAATTAAATGCAATTATAACATCAGTATTTCAGTGATGGATGCACTTGGACAGCAACTAAACGTGTCATTTAAATATTATTTCTTAATTCTAATTTTGATCTAAGTACATTGTACCTGCTCTTTGACTAACGGCATTTGTTTCAGAAGGGGGAAAAAAAACTTATTTGACTGGCACAATTTGTTTAGCAAACTCTAAAACATCTGCGACGTCCACCTTATCGCCAAACTCCTTCTCACGGTGTTCCAGGAGAATCCCCTGCGAACACAACACACCGTTAAAATACAGACATGTTTTGTAAAGCTTTCCTAAATTCCAGATGTTTGCTACGCTACCTGGTCTCCCGGTCCGATGACAAACACTCCCCCAAGGATGAAGCCCTCGCCATTCATGTTGCCCTGGTAACCGGACCTCCAGGCCCGTATGAAGTTCTGCCACACTCCGAGGCGAATGAACCCCAGACCCCCCATCTTCCTCTGCAGCGGGCCGTAGAAGTGTTTCTGCAATCATACAGAGCAGTTTTAGTCAGCCTAATCAAGAGAAATGTATCCAGCAGGAAAGGATTAGCTGGATGTGCTTTTTCATTTCAAGGTAATGTCTTTGTGTAATACGATGGATTTATTTTACTAACGGCGAAATTGCTTTATCAGCTCATTTGCCACTCGGGATATGAATAAAGTAAAGCCCTAAAATCTAGTTCCGAAGATATGCGACTCGTTTTTTATTTTCCAGCAATAACTAATTAATTAATAATTTATTAAAAGCCTATTCCCCATTAAAGGACCTTTTAGCTCCTATTCAACCTTTGGATTCTGGACTTGGTTAATAACTAGTCAAACAAAACAGGCTATTTGAATATACCAGCGTGAGCTTTATGGAGAAATTGTGAAGGGTAGTTTTCAATATTATCGGGACCGATTTATTAGTCTTATTCATAAAAATATTCTGCTGATTTCTTGATAATTAAAATAGTGGTCAGCTGCAGCCCTACAGTAAATTTAATTGTATTATTGCCAGGTTTTGGGACAGGTTGTCAATATCAGTGTTTGTTGCTGGGAGGCCAAAAAAGTTTTAATTGCAATTAAGTTTAGACTGAGTGACATGAGGGGGAGTACTTATCTACCACTGCTAACCTGTTCATCTACGTAGATGTCCCCAGCGAAGTGCGGTCTGAAGTTCTGGATCTCTGTGCCGACATTCTCCTTCACCACAGCGACCAGAGAGACTCCAAGCTCTTCCAGCTGGGGCTTCAGAGAGGACAGCTCAGAGGCCTCCTACAGAGAGAGAGAGAGATGATACCATCGGAAACTATTACCCACATACACTGTTTCAAACACTGAGTCATGTGTAACACCCTCTCCATAAACCTCTCTGCACAAAAATCATCCAGGTCGTCGCACGGCCATGACCACAGCCCCATTCGTGTCCCACAGGGTCTTCGCTTTGATGACCTTGTCATCTGCAGACAAAACAAGAACAAAATGTTTCTACAGTCTGACATGTTCCTGATAAAAGAAAGTCTCAAGGATTCAAAAGTACTTTACTGCTGCAAGAATTCGATAAAGCCGTAGTGTGGAAGATAAAAGGTGCAGCCTTCAAATGGAGAAAAGGCTAATTGTTCATGGTCACATGGAACATCTATATGTTGAATATGCTTTACAACAACAATAACACAGCAACTCGACCTTCAGCTTTGGGCAAAGACCTTAACAGTCATCTAATCTGTCATACCAGCAGATTTAAGAAAGCAGCTTTGCTTTAAATGCCACACGCAACCTTATTCACTGCATGTGCAATGCATCCAAACATGCACCAGTAAAGATAATGGCTGATGTAATGCTAATTCTCCTCCTAATGTGGTGTTAAGAAAAACAGGCTTATTGGTGGGTGAAATTATTATTATTATTATTATTAGCTAATCAGAGAGCCTGCCTACCATCTATGGTGGAGCGCAGGTCGGCATTTTCAAGGTGCTCCAGCGATGCCTTTGCAGCTTTAGGCAGACACAGATCGGTGTTGGCCAGGAAGACCCCAGCTAGCGCGGCTCCAACAACACCAAGACCTAACGACAACATCCCCATCCCGAGCAGTTCCCCCTCCAGCCCGGACCAAGAGGACAACACTGCAGCACAAAAAAAGACACAAGTCTGGCATGATCATGATGCAAAAGAAACATTCTTTACTTTGACAGTTGTTTTTGCAGTTTTCTTTCATAGCACCTATTGCAGCTAGATGTGCAGATGTACTTTATCTTTATGCAGAGACCTAAAATCACCCTGAGGCAGAGAGACCAACAAGACCCAGCTTGCAGATTTTGTCTTGTGTTTGAGCATAGTGCCGTATCTGTTTGTCACTGTGGTCCGTTTTTTCCAGCATACCATCTTCTCACTTTACTCTAACCTAAGCCTCGTTCATAGATTAAAGATTAAATACTACACATACTTCCTGAAAAGACACGATAAGATAACCACAGTTTGCAGGCACAATTTTTTACTGCAGCTGGTTTGTCTCTTGATGAGTCCCTCTGAACTTTTGTATAGTTTATTGTGATTTCCCTTGAATTTAAGAAAACATTATTTAGGCGATCTTGTGTTGAGTGTAATGTAGGGTAAACAGCAACCAACAGATATTTTCAATATCAAATAATCTGTCTTAATCTTCCTGATGAATTCTTTGGTCGGAAAATGTTTTTTTGTCCAACAATTACTCAAAAATCCAAAAGATATGCAGCTTACTGTCAAAACCAGCAGATATTCACAACTGAGAGGCAGAAGCATTGATTTTTGGGCATTAAAAGATTAATTCATTATCAAAATATCGCCTAATTGTTTCAGCTCCAGTACAGTGTTTGAACTTATCCAAACATTTTACACTGCTTGAAAGATAAAATCCTTATTATTAAATGGCTCATTTCTTTTGTCTATCTTTATAACACACAAAGTCATTCTAGCGCAAAGTGCAGGGAAACACACTGCACAGGTCACAACTGTTTCTACTACACGCTAACTGAGTAGGCAAATATGTCCTTGCCTGAAGCGGGCTTGTTTGGGTCAGGACTGGCTTTGGCTTTACTTTGGTGAAACAGAGCAGTCTGGGTTCTTAGAAAAGGGGGCCTGGCTGCGGTGGAGGGCTGGCTGCTCTTGGTAGTGCTCCCCAGAGAGAGGACAGAGCAACGCAGGGATAGCCTCCCCCTCAAAGCTGCTGGACACCTGAACAGAGCCAGCATCGGGAACGTGGAAAAGGTCTGACCCTCTGACTACAAACACCCTCAAGATTTCACTGAAAGAAAGAAACACAAGTCTTTTCTGTTCCACAGACCGTTTCAAAGACAATACAATCCACCTCTACTGCAAGCCCTACTTTCAAGGAATCTGTATTTCATTTCACAGATTGGCACCTTTCTTCGTATTCAGAGTACCCAGATAAACCATTATACCTACTGGTAAAACCAGTCAGTCAGATTTTACTTGGGAATTAGTACCCACCCTGCAGACAGTGTGATATCAAAATGAAAGCAAAGTTATTTTGATCATCTTACTTGGGTGAGACAGTTCTCCATTTGCAAACAAACCTCTTTTTTGCACTTGTTCGTGGTTTAAAACACACCAACACATAAATTACACTGAAAATACAAACATATAAGTCACTTTACAATATGCTACACATAGAAATTCATGCACTGGGAGTTAAAGATTACCAATTTTGTAGATTTTAACCCCAACAAAAACTGACTAAGTTAAGAAGGATAACTCTATCTGTCTATAACCAAGTAAAAAGTAAGAACTTCTTAGACTAACTTGTCTCCATTTCCAAAATGCGAAGAAACACGTTTTTCTCCCAGGACTTAAGTCATCCAGTGTCAAACAGTACGCACAGATGCATGTGTGTTCTGACACTTTATAACTGGGGAAGACAAACGAATGAAAAAAAAAATTATACCAGCAGCCAATAGACACAAGACGCCCACACATGCAGCACAAAGACGCATCTAGGTTCCTTGATTTCATCAGCAGAGTGAGCAGTGAAAGCAGCTGTCAACGCTGGTATGTTAAACATGATGTAGTGTTGCTCAATACTTTGAATGAGGTATTGAATTGAATGATGACCACATCTAATAATTTAAGACTTGTATAATATTAATGAGATGCCTGGACTATGCTAGGACAATCGCAGTGTCTAGTGGTGGAAAGTAACTAAGTACTTCTACTTAATGCTGTACAGTTTTGAGGTACTTAGTATCACAAAAATGTATCTCGAGTATTTCCAAGTTATTTCCAGGGGGAAATATTGTACCTTTTACATTTATTTAACAGCTATAGTTACTAGTTATTCCAAAAACTTTTCATACAAAATATGTGATCAATTTCTAAAAAATGATTTCCTATATATTAAACTCCACAACTGTGTAAGTAGCCTAGTAAATGTAGCTCCATCACCACCAGCCAGATTCAACATTCAAATGCTGCTTACATGTTAATGTATTTTTCAATGCACCATTTTAACTTTTTCTTACACTGTGGTATTACTGCTTCTATTATAAGGATCTGATTACTTATTCACAGTTGAGGTTTAAGCTCAGTTTGGGGATACAGGGTCATTTTCAGGGTTTAACTATCTTACTCCACTACTACATTTATGTGACAGCTATAGTTAATAGTTGCTGAATATTAAGATTTTTCACACAAAACATATGACCAACTTCTAAAATATGATGACTTGTCAATAACTACTAAATAATATTTAAAATAGTTTAAAAAAATTTGCTGTTTATCAATAGCTGAAAAAAGGTTAATAAATATTGTCCCACATACCATACCTCACTTAATTTGTACCCGTCATTATATTATTATGTGTCTAGCAGCTGTGTGTAGTTGTGTGATCTTATTTCCTGTTTGATCTGGATTAATATTTGGTATTATTATTATTATTATTATTATTACTACATTTTGGGGCGGCTCTGGCGCAGGTGGTAGAGCGGTTTGGCTGTTAATCGGAAGGTCGGCGGTTCAATACCTGGCTCCCCCTGGTTGCGTGTCGAAGTGTCCTTGGGCAAGATACTGAACCCCGAATTGCCCCTGGCGGCTATTCCGCCAGTGTATGAGTGAGTGTGAATGTTAGTTTCCGTTTGAGCACTTAGGCTCAGTGTATGAATGTGTGTGACTGGTGAATGCAGATGTAGTGTAAAAGCGCTTTGAGTGGTCGAAAAGACTAGAAAGGCGCTATACAAGTACAGAGCATTTATTATAAAATTCATAAATACAAAGCCAAAGTACATTAAAAAGTACATTCATTTTTAGTGCATTACTTTTAATTAGTTTTTATGTCTATTTTTTTTTTTTTACCCCTTTCATTTTAAGTAAATGATCTTACTCATTCCACTACTGACACTACCAACATGTAACGAAACAGCTAACGTTAGTTAAACAGTAACCGCCCTTTCAGCCCGCAGGTAAACAGCTAACGTTAATTATGCAGCTAACGACCTTGCTACTATTAATGTCTAATCAATGACATTACCTAATGGCTCCACAGGCTACACTTAAAATACCTAAAATAACCGCGCACGACTGGGCCATTTGAGCATTTTTTATTATAGTAGAGTGATGATTAACGTTACATAATATATACAGTATTTCGGTGCCCTCCAAAGTCAGTCGCAGCGGTTGATAAATTAGCAGTTAGCTCTGGTTAGTTTAATGAGTCTGGGCCTGGAGCTAGCAGGGCTTGTCGAGGCAGATGCGCCTGTTTAGACGCTGTCGCTATTTTATTAGGTTTATTGAGATGTTTTGTAATAAAGGCACACTCACCAGAATCAATGAAGTGACACACAATGCCGCCCTGAATAAGCGTTTTTTTGTAAACAGATCATGCACTGAGCATGCGCACTAAGACGTACCAGAGAGCAGGGAAACTAATCGAACCAGATGGCTGGATAATATTTCAACTTTAACAGTAGTCTTTGTAAGGAGCAAAACAAATGCATGGACAGATAAATAGGCATTTAATCTTTCTGTAAGCACGACTGGTTTATTGGTATATTTGATGACAAACACATATTGCGTTTAATAACTCCAACGGTTCAATCATCCTCATGTCACCATCAGGCCAAGATTGTGTTGTTATGGTTAAAAGTGTTGGATTTGTGTGCTAGCATCAGAGCTGTCCTCTCAGCAGAGTTTAGAAACAGCTCTTCATTAAATCACACAAAAGACCATCACACAACCAAGACATGCAGACAGATGGGTCAATAAACAGTTGTAGCACATTTTAACCACAGAATATGACTTTGCAACACATAGCAGCAAAACCTGAATGCAGACTTTAGATTTACAAGTATGAGTAGAGTACAGCATATTAGATGGTGGTGTAGGGAAAGCTCCTGGCTAAAGCTTAAAGAATGCAGACAAGCAAATGGCAACATGATGCAGCCATTATACATAATCCCACAATAGCAAACATTGATTCACATTTTGAGGTCTATCTGACCACGTCGTCTCGCATTTTGCGGGCTGTTCTGAGTACTGCCAGCATATTCACTTTATCCCCAAACTCCTTCTCACGGTGCTCCAGTAGAATACCCTGGGGGTGAAAAAATAACACAGCCAGAACTCATGAAAACATCCATCCTTGTCAAGACAATATTTATACTGTCAGTTACAGCCTACCTGATCTCCAGGCCCAATGATGAAGACTCCACCCAGGACAAGCCCTTCACCTCTTATGTTTCCCCCAAAGCCCCTCCGGTAGGCCCGCCAGATGTTCCTCCACACGCCAATACGCAAGAACATGGAGAGACACATCCACCTCACTTGAGGGCCGTAGAAATTTCTCTATGAGAATGATATCAGAGCAGATATTGTCTTTAATTCTATAACCCTCCATGTTTAACCTGCTATGTGTGTGTGTGTGTGTGTGTGTGTGTGTGTGTGTGTGGAGGGGGGGGGTGTTGCAAAAGCAGCACCTTCTGATCCACATAGACCTTCCCAGAGAAGTACTTCTTGAAGCAGTCCAGCTCTTTGCCAAGGTTTTCTTTGACCACGGCAAACAGAGGGACTTCAAGATCCTGCAGCTGGGACTTCAGAGAGGACAGCTCAGCAGCCTCCTTGAGAGGGAAGGACAGAGAGAATCATGAATGAAAAAGTGAACTACTGACTGCAGAGTTCTCATGACTAATACACACACAGCCATGTCATTTCATACCTCTCTGCACAATAATCATCCAGGTCGCCGTACAACCATGACCACAGCTCCAGTCTTCTCCCACAGAGTTTTGGCCTTGTGTTGCTCAATGACTAAAACAGACAGAGGAGCAAGACTAAATATCACTGACTCTTCAGATGAAGGAGTCCATAAATTTTGTCCCTTATGAATGATGCATTTGTTGTTTTGGCCAACTAAGAGTTTGTGGATTATCAGACAGACATTAAAACCTAAGATGAGGAATTTCATACTAAAAAGAATGTAACTTTTCAGTGCCAAAATGCAGCATGTCTGCAAGTTAAAAAATTTGGCTTGTTTCTTTTTTCTGACTCACCGCCTCCAGTGGTCTTCAGTTCTGTGTTCTCCAGCACTTCTAGGTTGGCCCATGCTGCTTTGGTCTGGAACCAGTCTGTGATGGAGCTGATAAACTCTGCGACAAACAGGCTCATGGCCTTAAGGAGCGTAGTCACAGTCGCCATGACCGTTAACTCGCTCCACAGGCCACCTATAGACAAAACACGCAAAAAGATTAACTTTCAAATATGCTTCTGCTCCAGGAACCAGGAGAAAGAAGCATATCTGTAGCATATCTGTATCTTTATTTGTTTTTGTGCATCAGAACCCGGTGCACCAGTACATGTTTTGTTAATTAAGGTTTCTTAAGAACTCTAAACACAAAGATTATCTAAGTCATTGTTACAAATGTTATTGTTCAGAATTTGATTGGATTAACGTGCACAAATTCCACATATTAACAAAAGACAAATACCAGTAAAATGAAAAGGTTATGTTATGTTAATAGCTAAACATTTAACTTTAATATTTGATAATGTACAATATGTCAACAAAAAATGTAAAAAGGTGATACTCACCAGACTGTGCTTCGCTGTTGATGTGGAGAAATCTGATGTTTTCAACCCCTTAAGCCCTCTAAACTCAGATTAGTCCAATCACAGTGAAAGCCTTGCTTATGTGAATGTGACACAAGAGGAATTCCTGGTGTGAAACAAGGCTCAGGTTAAGTACCAGGTGCAGCATGGTGCCGAGTGGAGCTCTCATTGGGGCTATGTAACTGCATTATTTTATATCTGTTATATTCAAGCTGTTAACAACCATGAATATAATAAATAGCATCTATAATTTAGTATTTGACAACAATACCAACATATACAACCCTTCAGTCTCCTGATCTTTTTAATTATGTTAATGAGCACTATTTGCATTTCTTATTTGCTGAAATCTACACGTGTTAGTGGAGAGTAAAAAATGTTATTGTAAGATTAGATTTTTCATTGTCTCTTCAGGTGCAGTCCAAAAGTAGCTCCAGAGGCCCAGTGATCGCTTTGTCAGCTCTCATGGCTCAGAGCAACACCTCCCCCTGCAGGAGGTTAGTGATATTACAGAGAGAACGCACCAAGTCTGCTCAGTCAGTGGCTGGCTACAATTTATGTCATTGCACTTTTCATACAGAGCAGGACTGTACTATTTGGGGTGAGCGGACAACTGTCTCAATCAGCTGGATTGGGGGGAGGAGCAGGAGGAAAGAGAACATACAGTAGCATAGTCCAAGTTTCACATTATCATTTTACAACACATGATGAAGTTTTAGTTCACTTTATGCAAATCACAGAGGGAAGAGAAAACCAACAAGAGAGGGAAGATGTCGAATTAGTAACATTCATTAATGGAATAAGTATGCAT